GGAAGGATTTCGTCTTGCGCGCGCGAATGTCCACTTTACCTTATTTTTTGCAAGGGATTCTTGAAGTTTGGTTATGTTAGAACAAGAAATGTCCACTTTAGCTTATTTTTTGCAAGGGAAAACCGATCGTAACAACACAACCGGATCCGGACCAACCCGTTTTGCCTGAGACTTCCTCACGAAAATTATGAAAATGAGGCTGCGGCCTAGGCGCGGCGGGGGGGTCGTGCACCAGGGGTCCCAACAATAATTACTTCTTTAGAAGTAATAATGTTCAACAACAACAACAACAACAACAACAACAACAACAACAACAACAACAACAACCACAACCACAACAACCACAACAACCACGACCACGACCACGACCACGCCCACGACCACGACCACAACAACTACAACAACAACCACAATAGCAACCACAACAACAACAACAGCAACAACAACAGCAACGACAGCGACAACGACAACAACCACAACGACAACAACAACAACCATAACAACAACAACAAAACACGAAAGATCGTCCCCATAATATTTTTACTAGTCTTGAATACTCCTCCTGTAGAGGGACATGTCCGAACGACCCCCTACCCCCAAAGGGCGTCCGAGGCTCCCCAAACTTGCCGGCAGTGCCCACAAGAGGTGGCGGCGCGAAGGGGGCAGGCTTCTCAAAGGAGGCGGCAGTGCGTTTGAGAAGGCCGGGGCGGCTCCTCGGAAGCCCGCCCCGCTTCTGGAAAGATGCCTCATAGAAGTCCTGGGGCCCCTCTGAGAAGGGCCGCTGCCTTCTCAGAAGCCGCCCCGCCTCCTCAAAAAAAAGCACCCCCTCTCGCGCAAAACCCCCTTGTGGGGTGGGCGCCGCTGACACAATGGGATGGCGAGGTCCCGTTTGGGTCCGCGTGGGGCCCCACTGTGCGGGCCCCCCCAGCAGCTCTCGAAACGGGCGACAGTTTCACACTTCGCAGCCACCCCAAGAGGGATGCGAGAGAAGGGAGCGGGGGGGAGGAGGAGGAGGAGGAGGAGGAGGAGGAGGAGGAGGAGGAGGAGAAGGGAGCCGGCGACCGCACTGCTCGATTCACAACGAGAACCCAATCAAGGGAGGGTTAGGAAAAAGCTCTCGCGCAGCCCCTCTGTGGGCGCCGCGGACAAAGAGGCCCCCCGGAGAGCCCCCAGAAGGGCTGCCCGTTGCTGGCCGTCCTGCTTCTCTGTCTGCTGCTCTGCTCTTCCCCCCGCCGACGGCTCGCTGGCGCCCGGCTTCTCGCCCCTCGCGTCGCGAGGAAAGGTACATCGCGCGGAAAGGTCGTGAGGAGAGGTACGTCGTGAGGAGAGGTACGTCGTGAGGACAGGCACGACGTCGCCCCCCCTGGGACATCCTCGCGTCCTGAGGGAAGGCACGAGGGAAGGCCATGGACCATTTTCGGCCTCTGGGAGCCCCCCTCGGGGCCCCAATGGCATTCGCGCGTCTCGGAAAAAAAAACACGACGGGAGGTCTTCTCGGATGTCTGGACTCCCTCCCCATCTGCCCTCCCCATCTCCTCCAGCTCCCCTCCCAAGTTCTCCCCTCCATTCTGGAGGGAAAGAAAACCAGGAACATGACCAGGACTGAACGCGAAAACGTCGGTGCTGATCTTGCTAATCGTCCATGTTGGTCATCGTCAATTTGTGGATATCCCCACGAATTAGTAACCGCCTACATTGACCACGACCAAGATCGGCGTCGACAAGATCCCGCAATATCTTGGTCATGGTCATCGTGTTTCTTCCCTCGTGCTTTTCCTGTAGTCCAGAGGGTTCCCGAAGTCCGGGGTCTCAAAACTATTGAGGCACTCAGCAGCCACATGTGAGCCATACCCCTGCAGGTCAGATCCCCGAAACGCCAGCTGGAGGTCAGCATTCGGAGGATGTCTGCAGCCAGGTGAACGCCGACAGGGGTGTCCGATATCCCAGCGTGGACCCGCAGGGGTAGGGTTCGCAATTGGTCGCAAACAAATGTCCATCCACACCCTCGTGTTGGCACGCCCGGAATGGGTACGGACAACAGGAGCCCGACGCCCGAGAGCACGTGTCGCCCAAAGACCGACAGCGGCGGCCGATGGGCAGGCGACGCTCCGTATACATGCGCGGCGCCCCCCGCAGCACCGACGGCGAGTCCTGTCCAAAACGACAGGAGCTGCTGTCGGTCTTGGTCCTCATTCCTTCCATACTTGGCATTGGCGCTCGGCCGCTACTCTTCCCATGCATAAGTGCTACTAAAGATACAGATGAGGCGAAAATGCAAAACTCACCAAAAATTCAGGAGCACGGTTTCCCAAGCCCATCGAAGATACACATGCCGCTTTGGGGGCGTGGCCGGCGGGAGCACTGGCGTTGGCCTCCAAGGGGGCCACAAAACCTGTCCAGAGCGCAGTCCTGAAGCAGGGGGTCGCTGAGTGGACGCGTGCCCATCCCAATGCCGCACCCATTTCGATCGGACCGACCGTTCGACCCCTGCCTGGCGCTC